CTAGGCTACTTCTAGTTTCAGTTTCCAGCCTAGGCTGCTTCTAGTTTCAGTTTCCAAAACAGTCCTCATTGACTGACTTAGTTGCTATGCCTATTCATTGGCTGACCTTGTCACCATGCTGTATTCCAGTTCATGAATATACTCTGACATACATCATATTGGCACAAACTGGTGAAAGCCGACTCTGAGTTTTCCCGTGGCTTTCACCTGATTAAAAGTAAAACTTTTCTTTTTCTCCCCCAAGTCACTGGTCACATTGTCCAATCCAAGTGCTGGCTGGTTGCTTGGTTACTGTCTCCTCCTCTGACCAGCCACCTGTGCGAATGTCCTTGGTTCCCACAGGAAAACTTGTTTTGGCTACAAAACCCCATCTAACTATTCCCCCCCCTTCTCTCACCGGTGTGTGGCAACCCTGGAGCCTCCAAGATGGCTTCAGCCAGGCTCTTTTCAAAGTTGACAGGGCCTTTGGATGTGTTTCTGAGGCACATCTGTTTTTTTAATGATTGCTTTCTCTTACAGCTACAGCGAGTATGCTTTGTTTTAACACAGAGGATATTCATTCTTTGTATTGCTGGCCAAAGTTGTTCAGATTGAGGCAACCTATAGTTGGAAGGGAAGGGAGAAGGGGGAGGAGGAGGGGGAGGAGGAGGAGGACAGACAACAGAAGGGGTAAATGTAGATGCACAATGAATATGTGTAATTTGTGCCTTTGAGTCAGCACTGACTCCTAGCAACTACACGGAAGTCTTCTTGGCAAGATTTCAGAAGTGTTGTGTCCTTCTTCCAAAGGCCAAGAGAGTGGGACTGGCCCAAGGTCACCCAGGTGGCTTTGAATTCATGTTACTCCTCAGACACTATTTTCATTCCTCTTTTCCCTTTCTGCTCCCAGCATCCACCACAAAGAAGGAAGCGACACCAAAGCCCTCTTTAGGAGAACTCTCCATCTCTGAGGCCACCAGCAACTCTGTTCTTCTCTCTTGGACCATCTCCACGGGGAGCTTTGACTCCTTCCTGCTCCAATATAAAGATGAGGAGGGCAGAACCCAAAGGCTGACTGTGGAGGGAGATTCGCGTGAAGTCACCGTTTTGAATCTGGCTCCATCCCACAAGTACAAGTTCAACCTTTATGGAATTTCTGGTGAAAAACGTATTGGTCCTCTTTCTTCTGAAGCCACCACAGGTTAGCTCTCCTCCTCCTCCTTTTCCTTCTTCTCCTCTTCCTCCTCCTCCTTACCCTCCTTCTTCTCCTTCTCCTCTTCCTCCTCCTCCTTCTCCTCTTCCTTGTCCTCCTCCTCCTCCTTTTCCTCCTCCTCCTTCCCCTCCTTCTCCTCCTCCTCCTCCTCCTTCTCCTCTTCCTCCTTCTTCTCTTCCTTCTCCTTCTCCTTCTTCTCCTCTTCCTCTTCCTCCTTCCCCTCCTTCTCCTCCTCCTCCTCTTCTTCTTCCTCCTCCTCTTCCTCCTTCCCCTCCTTCTTCTCCTTCTCCTCCTCCTCCTCCTTTTCCTCCTCCTCCTTCTCCTTCTTCTTCTCCTCCTCTTCCTCCTCCTCCTTCTCCTTCTTCTCCACCTTCTCCTCCTTCTCTTCCTCCTTCCTCTCCTCCTTCTCCTTCTTCTCCTCCTCTTCCTCCTTCCCCTCCTCCTTCTCCTCCTCCTCTTCCTCTTCCTCCTCCTCCTCCTCCTCCTCCTTTTCCTCCTCTCCTCCTCCTTTTCCTCCTCCTCCTTCTCCTTCTTCTCCTCCTCCTTTTCCTCCTCCTCCTTTTCCTCCTCCTCCTTTTCCTCCTCCTCCTTTTCCTCCTCCTTCTCTTCCTCCTCTGCCTCCTCCTCCTCTGTAACATCTTGTTTGACCATCATGGTGCATTTCCATCCTTTTTTATTGACCCGGGGGGAAAAAACTATCAAGAGTATGTGGTCAATAATAGTAGATATCAATTTGATGACACCTAATCAATCGATCAATTGAAACAAACACATAAGTGTAACCTTCTGAGATAGAATTTGGGATCCTGTGGCTATCCATATGGTGTAGAGCCCTGAAAATACCAAATAACGGTGGTTTCTGTGGGTTTAAAGAGGAATCACCCTATCCAGCAGGTTCAACTGAGATTTGGCGAGCTCACCTTTATTGGAAATTTTCTAGATGGCGATAAACGTCTCCTTCCCCAGATCTCTGCTTTACTTGAAGCCCTTCCCAATTTTAGGATTCTTACAGCAGTCCTTGTTTTTCTTTTATCTTCATTTTCCATCTTTTCTCCCTTTCTAAAATATATTTTCTTGGTTGGACAGAAGGAGCTGCTATGGTCGTGTTACCCTTTATCCTTTGTCTTTTGGACACCCCTCACCTATTCATTTGGGGGAAGTGGGGGGCTTTCTATATCTTATTTCCATTAGTTCTTTGTAGGAAAAAAAAAATCCAGAGAGGACATTCTTAACAGCCATCCCCCATTTTCTCTTTTAGCTGAACCAGAGGAGGAAGATGAGGAGAAACAGCCGACTTTGGGAGAACTCTCCATCTCCGAAACCACCAGCAATTCTCTTCTCCTTTCCTGGAGTGTCCCAACGGGGAGCTTTGACTCCTTCCTGATTCAATATGAAGATAGAGCTCTGCAGAGCTTGCCTGTGGATGGGGCTTCTCGTGAAAAAATGGTCTCCAACCTGGCTCCATCTCACAGTTACCAGTTTGACCTCTACGGCATCTCTGGTGCCAAACGCCTGGGCCCCATTTCCGCCAAGGCCTTAACAGGTCAGTACAAGCCATTCGCCCTCCTCCCTGGCTTAAGGGAAAGCGCGAATCATTTTTGTAAAGCTGTGTGTTCCCAACTTTGGCTATGCCAGCATTTTAAATGGGTTGAGGAATTCCGGGAGTTGAATTTCACACGTCGTAGAGCTGCCGAGGTTGGGAAACACCGGTAAAGTGTCACTCTTGCAGTAGTTAAGACAAAGTCCTAAATGATCTAGTCACATAATACTGAATTCCATCATTTAATTGTGGGGGGCTTCAATTCTATAAAGCCTGAGTAAGACCACACCTAGAGTACTGCATCCGGTTTTGGTCACCACACCATAAAAAAGAAGCTGAGACTCCAGAAAAAGAGTGCAGGGAAGAGCAACCAGGATGATTAGGGGACCGGAGACTAAAACATATGAAGTACGCTTACAGGAACTGGACAGTGTTGGAGTATTCACAACTTCTGGAGACAATGTCATGCCCCTGGTGGAGACTGACTCTGAGGGAGAGGAGGAACAGCCGACAGGGAGTGGAAGTGTGGCTCCGGAGGTTGTGGAGGAGGCTAGGGAAGGGCAGAGGCTGGCTGGGCAGTCAGAAGAGGACCCAGGCCCATCCCCTTTCCGTCCTAGGGCATGCAGGGAAGAAAGGATAGGGAGAGACATGGTCTACTGGGGAGGAGAGGGCCTTGACCCACTTCATGGGCTGCAGCTGTGACAACTCGATAAAAGGACAGACATGCGTACGGGCGAGTGCTGGAAACAAAGCATGGAAATATCTCTAGTTTATTGTTCCTCTCTGAGTTTGGCATTCTGATATCTGAGTGTGTGTTCTGATATCTATGGACATCTTCAAGCCCTTATCTTGTCTGGTTTTGTTATTTTTTACGCTTTATAATTTAAACGGCATTTCCTTCTTCTTGTAACTGCTTGTGTAGGAGTTTTTTGTCTCCAGTCAAGGATATTTGGAGCTTGGAAGCAAAGTGAAGGAATAAAAGGGGCTTCACCTGTTTTTGTGACTGTGTTTATTTTGTAATGGTGCAGGGCAAATGGGGGGTGGGGTGAATTGTCACTGGGGTGCGTGGAATCATCGAGCCGGGAGAAGGTGCAGTTACCATGTTTTTTTTTAATTTAAGGATGTCAGATGTTAGACAGTGAAGGCGGCCGGAATGTGGTTATAGTAATTATGTTATTATCCAAGGTATAACTTTGTATAAATACAGCTCTGGGTTGCAATGAAAACCAGAGCTGACTTTAGACATAATTTGATCACTGTTACCTGTTGTTGTGGTGTGGGAGACAAATAAAAACTTCACTGAAGCTACACGAGTGACTTGGTATCTTATCGTTCACCCCCTCAATATCAGACGAACAGCTGACGTGTCATCTAGGAAGTCCACAGTCTGGATTTTAGTTGGCAATCGTCTTTTTTCCCATCCCTTATTTTTTTTTTCCACTCTTCCTTCCTTTTTTTTTTTTACAGCTCCACAATCTCCAAGTCAGGGCACAGAGGAGAGTGGATCTCCCAGTCCATCTCCAAATCCCAGTTTCGGGGAGCTCTCGGTGTCTGATGTCACCAGCAATTCTGCCCGGCTCTCTTGGAACATCCCTGTGGAGACCTTTGACTCCTTCCAGATCCAATACAAAGATGCGGAAAACAAACCTCAAATGGTTCCTGTGGACAAGGGAACCAACACCATTGTGATCTATCATCTAGTACCTTCCCATAGGTACAAGTTCAATCTGTATGGCATCTCTGGACGCAGGCGCTTTGGACCAATCACTGCCAGTACCATCACAAGTGAGTAGCAGGTTTAAACCAGAGGTGGGGAGTGATGGCTGTTGAGGTAATTCCCCGTTAGGAGAATGAGCGCATACAGGGAGACGTATTTGAGAGGAGTGTTTGAATAATACACAGACAGCACACAGATACACTGTGCAGTAAATGTAGGTATTTTTACTTCCAGAAACGTGTAAGCAAAGTTCAAAATACGCAGTCCACAGTCATTCACAGATAAATCAGTCAGTTTTTCAATCCAGGGATAATCCAAATATCAAATTCCAGTGTCAAAAACAGTTCAGTATCAGACTTACATTAAATCCAGTAATATCAGTCAATTAGAAGAAATGGAGCAACGGCAATACTTTCCAACAGAAGGAAACAGTGATACTCACTCAGACTTTCTTCTGAGACTCAGACTAAACAACCCAGGTTTCTGGCTCCATCTTATGGCTGTTTGAGAAACCACACCCAATTGCATGCACTTGCATTCCCTTAAAGATACAGTTTTAAAAGGTTTATCCTGGTTTATATATTTCTAACCCAAATACCTGTTAGGTGACTTATATTCCTAACAATGGCCCCTTTAGAAGAGCCTCGGTGGCGCAGTGGTTAGAGTGCAGTACTGCAGGGCACTTCTGCTGATTATCGGCTGCCTGCAATTTGGCAGTACAAATCCCACCAGGCTCAAGGTTGACTCAGCCTTCCATCCTTCCAAGCAGAGGTGTGGTATTCAGCAGGTTCTGGCCAGTTCTGGAGAACCGGTAGCGGAAATTTTGAGTAATTTGGAGAACCGGCAAATACCCACATCTCACTGAAGCTTTTACAGTCTCCTGCCAAGGCCAGCAAGCCACACCCACAGAACCAGTAGTAAAAAAAAAATTGAATCCCACCACGGCTTCCAAGGTGGGTAAAATGAGGATCCAGATTGTTGAGGCCAATATGCTGACTCTGTAAAAGAGCTTAGAGAGGGCTGCAAAGCACTATAAAGTGGTATATAAGTCTAAGTGCTAGTGCTAGTGCTAGTGCTATAACTTGTGGCCTTCAACTCCCAGAATTCCTCAGCCTGCATGACTCAGGAATTCTGGGAGTTGAAGTCCACCAGCCATAAAACAATAGGATCCCTGGTTTAAACAATAGGATTCTTCCCTTTGCATTTTTTCTTCGCTGTTTTTCCTCTCCATAGGATCGTTTTCTTCCAAGTAGCCCTTTCTTAGAGCTTTGATTTCTCAGCTTATTTATGTGTTTGTTAGATTTGTGTCTTGGCCAGCTTGCCTACTGTGATGTCATTCTTCACTCAATTAAACAATAAATCAGAATAGATTAAAATAAATTTAAAAGGGTCAAGCTATTTTCCCAAGCACCAAGAAACAATAGATGGAAACTAACCAGGAGAAAAGTAACCTAGAAAAGTAACCTAAGGAGAAATTTCCAGTGAGAATAATTAATCAGTGGACCAACTTGCCTTCGGAAGTTGTGAATGCCCCAACATTGGAAGTTTTTAAGAAGAGATTGGGCAACCGTTTGTCTGAAATGGTATAGGGTCTCCTGAGCAGTGGGACAGCAGGTTTCCTGAGCAGGGGGGTTAGACTAGAAGACCTCCAAGGTCCCTTCCCACGCTGTTATTTTGTTCTATTAAGTTGCTTCATCACCGGAGGCTTTCAAAAAGAGATTGGACAATCCTGCTTGAGCAGGGGGTCAGACTAAAAAGCCTCCAAAGGTTCCTTCCAACTCTGTTACAGTGGAACCCTGGGTCACGACCATAATCTGTTCCAGGACTTCAGTCGCAACCCGATTTGGTCGTGACCGGAAACAAGACTGTCTGCATATTTACAGATAAAAAAATTGGGGCAGAAGGGGAAATCTCCGCGGCTGTATTTGATCGCCACCCAAGGATCTGTTCGCAACAATTTTCCAAAAATGTTGGTTGTCACCCGATTTAGTCATTAACCACAGCTTTCGTGACCCGAGGTTCCACTGTATTCTATTTTCTATCTCGTCTGTCTGTCTATCTACCTGTCATGCCCCTGGTGGAGACTGACTCTGAGGGAGAGGAGGAACAGCCGACAGGGAGTGGAAGTGTGGCTCTGGAGGTTGTGGAGGAGGCTGGGGAAGAGCAGAGGCCGGCTGGGCAGGCAGAGGCCCATCCCCACTCCATCCTAGGGCATGCAGGGAGGAGAGGATAAGGGAGAGACGTGGTCTACTGGGGAGGAGAGGGCCTTGATCCTCTTCATGGGCTGCGGCCGTGACAACTGAATAAGAGGATGGACATGTGTATGGGTGAACGCTGGAAACAAAGCGTGGAAATCTCTCTAGTTTATGGTTCCTCTCTGAGTTTGGCGTCCTTCCGAGTGTGTGTTCTGTTATCTGTGGAAGTCCTCCAGCCCTTATCTTGCCTGGTTTGTGTTGTTTTTTCCGTCCTTCTTGTAACTGTTTGTGTGGGAGTTTTTTGTCTTCCGTAAAGGATATTTGGAGCTTGGAAGCAAAGTGAAGGAATAAAAGGGGCTTCACTGAGTTTTTGTGACTGTGTTTATTTTGTATCCCACCCTGGGTCATCACTCAGATAGATAAAGTGATGACCCAGGGTGGGATACAAAATATCTATCTATCTATCTATCTATCTATCTATCTATCTATCTATCTATCATATATCTTCTAGCTATCTATCATCTATCTATCATCTATCTTCTAGCTAGCTAGCTAGCTAGCTAGCTAGCATCTATCATCTATCTATCATCTATCTGTGTCTATCTATCATCTATCTATCATCTATCTATCATCCATCTATCTATCATCTATCTATCTATCTATCATCCATCTATCTGTCTATCTATAATCTATCTATCTATCTATCTATCTATCTATCTATCTATCTATC